AATAGTAACCAAAGCAAGAATAAATGATCTCGAGTAATGGTCATCAAACCTGAACAGGCATGGAATCACCAATGGGGAATGCTTATTTAAAATGCCATCTGCCAGGTCTACCTGGGAGATTCTACCCCCAATTGGTATGTCTAGAGTGAGATCCTGCATTTTTAACAGCTCCTGCCTGCTCAAAATTCCACCACAGAGGGTCCACTGATCACTCTGAGCAAAAACTGATATACAAAAGCTTAAACTTCAGTTCTCAAAATAATCATTTCCAAGTTTCAGAGCCTTGTTCAAACAAGTTCGCCACAAATCCAGAAACACTATGCAGAAGTACAAGTCTAACCCATAACACGTAATAATATTTGAGTATTCTCTCCTTTAGGTTTCTCCTCATCTTTAATAATAATTATAATAATAAAGTATTTTAACAGCTTTCCCTTGCTGTGCTTGGAACTTCTATTAACCCAGCCAGTCTTCCCAGAAAACCAAAGTGGCAGCCAGCAGTCAGAAGAGGGGCATTCTAAGCTGCTGGAGTCTCTGCTGCCAGACTATAATAATTTAGGAATACTTTTTCTCTGCGGTTCAATAAGGCTATATCATTGCCACACACAATACCCAGAATTACTACAATCTAACTGTCTTCTGGGATTTGGGACTTCTGGTTCAAATAGTGAGTTAAACCAAGTCACTTAACATCCCTACCAAATTCCTATTGAAATGAACAAGGAAGTGTTTTAAGGAGAAAGAAAAAGTCAGCTTCAGCACTTTACAGTGAGGGGGGCCAGAGGGAGGCCATGAGTGAACCAGAAATTCTGAGACTTTTTAATAAGATATATTACAAAACGGGAGGCTACATGATCTTGACTGTGAACCAAAGCACAAGGAGGAGTAACTGGTCAGAAAGTGAATGGGTCTCCTAGAATGACCTCAAAATACTGCTAAGCTAAGAGGAGCACAGCATGGGTGAAGACAGGAAGTAACATACCGCCCCCCATCCCCGCTCCCAGGCCTATGTTTAGGGCAATGGCATGTTTGCCTGACCTGGACTAGCCACAGAGGATTCCAACATCAGTCACCACAGCAGTGTCCTAGCTAACCTGGAGATGGCAGTAGGGGTGGCTCAATCACCAGTTTCTGCAGGAAAGTGGAACTCTGACCTGACTCAAATACCTCCCAGGACCAGAAGACCAGAGTTTGGAGATGAAGTCAAGGCCCCAATCTCCAGCAGCAGCCAACTCTCTTAACTCTATGAACAAGTTCCACCAGCAGTAGGCCAAAATGTATGCCATCCTAGCCCTTGCTTGGCACACGTGGTGCTAGGCATTACTGAAGAGTCAAACACGGGCAGTCACGCCAGTTTGGGAAGTGAAGCATGGTGCCAGCTGACTATGAGGTCAAAAAAATCAGCCTTGAAAAGAAACCTGACAGTCAGCCTAGCAGGGAAATACATACCTGGCCATAGCTTCACCATCAGATCCCTCCCCAAGTCTCGCCAACAGCCTCCTCCTCCTGCAAAATACCACTACTGGATTGGGTAACTTTCACCTTTCTTCTCTAGCCCAAACCCTCAAATCTAGACAGGACTCTTCACCCCTCTGACAGAATCCACCTCAACTCTGAAATGTCTTCCTTCTGTAGGTGTGAGTACAGAGTAAAGGCCCAAGGTCTACTAAAATTTTTACAAGTTCTACAGAAGAGACCCAACCTGAGAATCAGAATGAAGATGTCCTCTTATAAAACAATTTTTTTAAATAACAAAAGAGAGAAACTTGTACAATGCCAGTGTAGCCTATGAACAGGTGTGAGAGTCAATAATAGTTTAGTGATAAGCCAAGGCCAGCTCAGGAGAACCCAAATTGTAAGCATCTTTTCCCAACTCTTTGTGCAGTGACCTCCCATCAGTACTTGAAATAAAAAATCAAATATAATTCAAAGTGGGGCTTGCTAGTTGTTAAACATTATAACCAGGGTGCTGCAACAGTCTCAAAGAAAACAAAGCAAATGTAAAAACAAAGCAAGTATTAACTTCAGGAAAAACAAAAGTCTATCAGAAAGATAGTTATAATTAGCTGGACAAGGTAGCTTAAACCTGTAATCCCAGCACTCTGGGACACTGAAGCAGGTAGACTGCTTGAGCTCATAAGTTTGAGACCAGGCTAAGCAAGAGTAAGATGCTGTCTCTACTAAAAATAGAAAAAACTAGTCAGGCATAGTGATGCATACCTATAGTCCCAGCTACTCGTGAGGCTGAGGCAAAAGAATTGCTCAAGCCCATAGCTGCTGTGAACTATGATGGTATAGCACTCTACCCTGAGCAACAGTCTCAAAAAAAAAAAAAAAAAAGATAGTCATAATACACTGCTATGCTCAACAATAAATAACTGATTGGACATTATAAAGTAACTATCAAATATCATAACCCAAAATTATAATGTAACTGCACTGGAAGGATGGAGTAGGGGGTGAGGGGCAGAAACAGGGTAGAAGCTTATACAAGTTCCCTAAACTCTCATCTAGCAAAACACAAAGTCAACAGACAACACCCAAATCTAATGACCCAAATGATAGTTTACATTTATTACTTATAAATATGGACATAAATAAACACTAGAATAAACTGATAAAATTTCAAAGTGGTTGCCTCTGGAGTTGGGGAATCTCTGAGAGAGTAAGGAGAAAACCCATGATATTTTGTGATAAGCCTTTTACTATTTTTGACATTTTAAACTACATGTATACATAGCTCCAAGTTTGTTTTTTTTTTAACAGCATGTTACTTACATTTTAAAGTACCATGCTTGATACAGTTAGAGGTAATGTATATCTAAGTTAAAGCAATGGGTCTAACCGTCAATCTCTACAAAAGCATAACAGAACACATCCCTCAGAGAATCCAAACTACAAAGAAAATCTGTATATTTATTGTACTTTTTTCAAATTAACTGGACCCTTTACTTTAAATTTGGGGGCACTTTACTTAACAAGGTATCTGAGATTGAAAAATATACTGAACATCCTATATGAAAATGTTAGTATACTGCTTAAAAATAAGTTTGCCCTATGTTCCCTGCATTTGTAGATACTCTGCATATTACATTAATAAAATTAATTTTAGAAAATGACCCAATGTGCTTTTTTAACCAGATTTTAGGGTTCTCTGAAATTATTAAAAATGATCTATAACAAGAAAAGATTACTTTTAGAAGTGACCTATCAAGACTGCAGAATGTAATAGACAAATATGTGTGCTTTTCTCATCCATGAGATTCCTCTGCTATCTCCACCTTAATTTGTAAGAACCACCTCTGTCTCCACCTTCCCCAACAATGTGGTACAAATGGCCTGACCTCTTATCACTGTTACTGGTCTGAGGCTCATCAGCCCTTTCTATGCTGAATGGTTTCAGAGCATTCATCTTTACCAGAGATGTGAAATTTTTTATCTAGAGAAAGTGCAACAATTATTCAGAATACGGGCCAAAGTGCCATTCAATAGGCATGTATGTTAGCCATAAAAACTTGCTGTTTTTATTGAGAAGTGTTATCACTGTTTTTTTTTTTTTATTTGTTAAAGAAAAGAGTGGGGGTGAGGAACAGATTGACTTTGACAAGGTATCTAAAGACAAAAAAAACAAAAAACAAAAAACGGTGGACAAAGTGATCCAATAATAAAAATAACACTTGCTAAATCAGATTGTTTCAAATCAGTCATTTTGCTGCATGGACCTAAATTTTTTGCATATGGGCCTTTTCTGCTTTGTCAGAGTCTTCTTTGTGTCCAATGTTCTGTGCTTGAAAACACACTTGAATGTTTCCTGTCTGTAACTGCAAAAACAATATGAATCAGGAAGGAACTTCCCACTCGCCATTTTTCTCTGGGGTTTGTTTTTTCCTATGCAAGCCACTCTGCAGTTTCACTGGTCATTCAGACAAGGCTTACGACAGGCAGGATTTTTAACTTACTTTTCAGTAAAGCACAGAATTTTCTCCTCATAATTCCTGAAGCCTCCAAGCAGCAGTGCTGTATGAGCCTTGCCATGTCCCCTTTTCCCATGACTAGCTGTGGTAGCACCCAATCCTTTAGCTGTAATGCACAGCATATTTCACTCCAGGCAAGGAAGAAGCAGAGATGTGCCCAATCTGAAGTAGTTTACTTTACCAAAATGACAGAAAATGCTAAGACCAGGAGACAGGACCAAAGGAAAACTTCCAACTGAGCTAACAATTTCCATCTCTAATCACAGGCTGATCTCTGGCAGAATTACCTTCATGAAACACGAACTACTACAGAAGTGATGGATGTGAATGCTCAAATCTACAGCATCGATAGGCTGTGATCTTGTAAACAATGAGTGTGACTGATCTCCCTGCTAGACAGAAACCAAATCTTTATAGTCATTATTCCTCCCCAGCACCATGCTTAGCACCTGCCTACCACATAGTAATTGCTTCATATACACCGAATGAATGAATGAACCTGCTGTCACAGCGATAGAGAAGGGTTTGAAGCAAAGAACTTCCTAGATTTCAAAAGAGGTAACAAGAAAAAAAAATCAACAAAGCTAGACAGAAAAGCAACTATAACTGTGTAGAACTGCCTTTCCATAATAAAATCTACAATGACTAAAACTGAAATGCAATGTCGCTTTTCAAAGACAATCTTTTTTAAATCTGGAAAAAAAACCCATATAACTATCCATGTCACAATAGTTTTGTAAATTTTATATTAAAGGGCAGTGAAAGCCATCCCTCCATACTTCCA